TAAGATAACGTTCATGTACTAACAAAAACATCTAAGAATGTATCTTTTATTCTCCAGTACTGAAAACAGAACCGATACGGGAGCTTTTGATATGCGCTGTGACGCAGCTCTTGGAAACCTTTTTTGTTCGTTGTCTGTCATTTCGAAGCTTAAGTTGCATACGGTTTTCTTTAGTTTTAATTTGCCTAACTATCGATCTGACCCAGTAGACGCCATAATCCCACTCTGTCTCTCTCCTGTCCCGCTTTCCATTTTTTTTTTTAATGGTGGGTGTTTACGCAGTTGGCTAGAGCAGTGCTGATTGGGGAGAACGGAGGTGCGCTCACTCTATTGGTTCCTAAGACTGCAACTCAAGGCTGGCAGTCATGCATATGCTCTGGAACAGAGTAATATCGCGTCCATATCGCAGGCTTTGCGATTAGGAAATCGCAACGTCTCAAATCGCGATTTCGATTCGATTTCGATTAATCGCACATATATAATGCGAGGATGCGCAATGCTAGAGTTAATTATTTCAAGTCTGAAATACCCTTGGGACATTTTTCGAAATACAGTATCTTCTGTTGTGTTCCATGGAAGGTTTGGAATAACACAAGGGTACGTAAATGATAATAAAATTTATATTATTGGGTGAACTGTCCCTTTATAATTAAATTTTAGTGTCAAACCTCCTACGGAAGTCAGTATGTCAATGTGTGCATCACACTCAATAATTAAGCCCGGAAGAGCGGTAACAAATTGCATGACTTACTCTGACCTCTGTCCACTTATTGGTCACTGGCTGCCAAGACCACGAGAGTCTGTCCCACTGAATGAACGATAATATCAAGGCAAGTTGGATGTTTTTGGTGTGTCGACAGGGCCATCAACACCCAGCTGTGGCTGTTAATGCCCACCCTCCGAGAGGTGTGACTGTGCGCACTGCCTCAATCTGATTCTTGAATGACTATGTAAATGAAGTTAATGAATGATGAACAGCTGAAAATTTGCTAGTGGGACACCGCCTCGAATTGATGCCAGCCTCAAATGGACATTTCCCTTCCCAGAGAAAAAGGAGGCTTGCCAGGGCTAATCTCTAAAGAAAACTAATTGATTACAACAATAAATGAAAAGATATGGTCTCATAACCTAATAATGGATTGCCATCTTCTGAATCACTTTCCAGTGTTGCACACAGCCCAAACCATGCCATACACATTTGTCAATCCAAGAAGGTTTCAATTGTGAAACATCTGTAGATCAAGCATAGTGATATGCTATAGCTAAATGCCTTGATAGCAGAGATACATGAGTAAAGCCCTGACCTGAATATGTCTAGCTGCTTCAACCCTCTGCTGAATGAATGTACTGAAATTCTAATCATGCTTCAGATTTAAAGATTTCTCAGAGCATATGTGCTTTTGATCATGCTGTGGCAGTATTAGTGGAGGCTGGTACAGTAATATATCAGTCCTTATGTTGTGTCATGCAGTACATGAGGGGTTATGTGAGGGCTGTCATATGAGACACACCTGTTTGCTGTGGTATCTCTGATGAATCCAGCTCTAAACTGGAGTGATTAACTCTACAGTAAAACTGAATCAAAGGAATGCTCTGCATTAAATACTAGTTAAGCTCTGTTAACCACATGCATAATTTTTGGACGGAAAATAATTTAGGCTTGCACTTACATTAAGACACTTTCCCCTTGGAACTAAAAAAAAAATCAATAAACCCTGTAACTTCTGCATGATGCTGCAACGTTACCGGAACAGGACTGTTGGCATGCAGCGAATTCCACTCATGAGAATGACGTTGGTAGATGGAACAGTATTCCTACTTCAAAAAGAACGACTTTAAAGCCCAAATAATGAACATGTTTGTACTGAATAATTTTACTTTGTTTTGAATTTGCTTTTATAGAAGGATAAGCTTCACTCTTGTGCTTTGAAGTGCTGCAACCACAATTTTGGCTTTTTTCCATTATACACTAACATTCAAAAGTGCTGGGTCAGTAAGATTTTAATACTTTTATTCAACAAGGACATATTAAATTGATCAAATGTGACAGTAAAGACTTGTCTAGTGTTACACAAGATTTCTATTTCAAATAAATACTATTATTTTACTATTTCTTTCTTTATCATTATATTCTTTTACTTTTACTATATATCAATATTAAATCAGCGTATTAGAATGATTTCTTAAGAATGGCACTAAAGACTGCAGTAATGGCTGCTGAAAATTCAGCTTTGCAGTTTGCATCACATAAATTACAAAATGGAACATATATAAAGTATACATATGTGATAAGGGTCAATTTTTTGAAATTAAGATTTATAAACCATCTCAAAGCTGAATAAATAAGCTTTCCGTTGATGTATGGTTTGTTATGATAGGATAGATTGTTATGATATTTGGCCGAGATACAACTATTTGAAAATCTGGAATCTGAGGGTGCAAAAAAAATCTAAATATTGAGAAAATCGCCTTTAAAGTTGTCCAAATGAAGTTCTTAGCAATGCATATTACTAATCAAAAATGAAGTTTTGATATATTTACAGTAGGAAATTTACAAAATATCTTCATGGAACATGATATTTACTTAATATCCTAATGATTTTTGGCATAAAAGAAAAATCAATAATTTTGACCCATACAATGTATTTTTGGCTATTGCTACAAATATACCCCAGCGACTTAAGACTGGTTTTGTGCTCCAGGGTCACATATATTCTTTATAAAATATAAAGAATAATTTAAGAATAAATTTTAAATTGCATAATATTTCACCATATAACTGTTTACTGTATAATTTTACTTTAATATTACTGTTTTTACTTTTTGTGAGCATTGGTGAGCATAAGAGACTTCTTTTATAAACATTGTAAAAATTACATTTGGTATTTGAAGAAAAAAAAAACTGGTAAGTGTGAAGAATTAAAATCTCTATTTTTCATTTTTAAAGTCAGGGTCTTGTGATTTATGTTTTTTTGTTTTTTGTGACAGAGCAGAGGAACATGCTTCCCTGCTAATTTATTCAGAAGTACACTATACTCTTATTATTAATGTCTTGATTGACAGTCAGTTGTTTGTCAATGCAGCTGTTTTCTGCTGTGCCACGATTATTTGACCAGTCCTGGTAGAATTTAGCATCTCTCACTGAGGTAGGAAAGCTAACAGAAGATAAATAAGATAGAATAGATATCTCTATTTTGTCTTTTTTTTCTGTCAATCGTTCCTATGATGCAACAAATTTAGATTTTCAGAATTATGATTCTATTGAACTAAATCCACTTTCCATATTCAGTACTTCATTGTCTTCTGTACTGATGTGTCTCACAGGCTCTGGGCTTTCCACTCCCCCCACCACCCCGACACAGAGTCCCATTCCACCGGTCTTCCCTATGGAGACCCCCAGTCCTGTGGAGCGGGTGGAGGAACGACGCTCCCGCTCTCTCTCATCTCCCCCTGACACAGGCCAGCGCTTCAGCCTGAGCCCCTCCACCACCAAACCCCCTATCGCCTCGTACACCTTTTACTCTACCTCACGCCAGGTGAGTGAACGACTTCACATGTGCTTTCTGGGATTTACTATAGTATACTCTTGTCCCATTGTGAAGCAAAGTCATATTTACAGCTCTAGTGGCACCTTCAATCGACCGATGGCATATTTATTAAAAGACAAAAGTGCTTGCTCATTTTCTACACCTAACATACAGTTTGAAGCAAGCGGCAACCTCCCCCTCGCTCTCGTGAAGCCAGGTGGATTGCCGCTGCTGTCACCACCGTCCAGCTAGGTGGGCGTGGCTTCAGCAACCTGCTCCCGCCTCTTTGCCCATTTTCGATTATCCGGGAGTGACGCGCGGTGATGCGCTGCCAAGATGGCGACGGCCGCCTCCGCCCACTTTTGAGCTTCAAAAACGCTCTTCGGAAATCTACGGGTGACGTCACGGACACTACGTCCATGTTTTTATACAGTCTATGGTTTGAAGTCTTTCAATGACAACAAATTGTTGAGCAAATGCTTTTTCTTGTACAGTACAGTATGTGCTGGACAGTGTTTTATGGAAGTCCACTGCAAAGTATTTATTATGGAAAGTTGACATTTTACAGCTATGCATAGCCTAATGTTGCAGCTGAGGGATATATAGTCCTAATAACTACAGTATGAGATCATGACACAAACATTAATATATATATATAAATCAATTACTTGATTTTATTTTTCCTACTTTTCAGGTGCATTTTATGTGTGCATTATACTGTTTACACCTGCTGCAGACCCAATTGTAATCTTAAGATGTGCTGATCTATCAAATATTACATTTACATTCTAAAATCTATAACCTAAACAAGCTGTGAATACACAGCAACTATTTTATATATTGTAAATTATTTATACACAATGATTTTATTTTTAAACCAATTATGACACCCCCAGGCCAGTTGTGGTGTTATTTGCAATTTCCACCTAAAAGAGATTGATCAAAAGTTAGTGTACTTGTTTACCAAAGGCACTACACTACTACAATGATAGATTTAACAGTATTTAGGTTATATAAAATGCTAGCGATGTATGAAATTACCTTAGCAAGACAAATAAGTCAGCTATTTTATTTAAAAGATAATGTTTGAAATATAATTTCCACCTATCAAACACACTGTTGGATATTACCAGTAGACAAATGAAATACACTTGTCATAAGAGATTTTTAAGTGTCCGTTTTTGATGAAACCACCCTAACGTTAGTTTGAGTACGCTATTTATTTATTAGTTTTTGTGGCGGGAACAGCCAGGCTTACGTAGGAATTTTGGAAGATTCGCTGGTTTGATTAAATACCTTAAAATAGAAAGTACCTTATTTTCTGCGGCTTAAACTGTGATCCATGTATACTGGCTCATGGTGTTTAAAATGCTGACTATGTAGGCGGCTCGCTAGGTTTCGAGACAAAGCCGCGGCGGGTAATTTATGCATGATCAGTCAATTCGCATTTCGCTTTCGTTTCGTCGTCGTCGTCCAGCAGAGAGCGGCAGAGCTATAACTAGAGCCAAGTTATCCCTTCAGACCTATGCTTCAGACTCAGTGTTGACATTATACGCTCCAAATGAAGTAGGTTACTCTACCTGCTGTACCTGCGCGTCGTTTTCCTGCGCTCAGAAAACAGACGTGAAACAGACCAAATGGGATGTTCCACTGTTACCTTTGCGGGGGTGTCCGTCTATTAATATTTCACTACTGCGCGTAATGAATCCTTTAGTGAAAGCTCTGCCTGGAGAACATTACAAGTTTAAGATCACTCTGCTTTCTATGTGGTGACCAGCCTGCTTGTTTGAAGATAAGCAGATTTTAAAAATGGACGCTACCACTCCATTGGATCTAATAGGGTCTAACTTGAAGTAAGTGCTTGTTGGTGAATTCATCAGCCCCTGTCTTTGTGTTTTAGAGCTGCGTACTTGCTGAAGGCATGCTGGAAAAACTTGAACTTGATAATGAAGGTAAATGGTTATATTTATGTTTTGCATTGCTTGCTTATTTTATTTCATATGCTCTTTGCAAGTTTATGGGCTATGACTAAATTTAAATTTTCAGCCTGTTCTTAAATAAAGGTTTGCTGTATGTAGTATTTTTGTATGGTTTTATGAGTATAACGGGTTTAATTCATAACATAATTGCATTGTATATTGTATTAAAAATTGAATTAATTTTAAAGATTTATGCAAAACATATTTGTCACATTTTTAAGTGTTAGAGATAGGCAACTAATGATTCTAATGCTAATGATTCGAGTGATTTCTTCTCCAATAAATATACACAGCACACACACATATATTATGTAAACAAAAACTTTTTTTGAATGCGATTAATCATTTGACAGCACTAGTCCAAAATGTACCGAATATGAGTAAATAATAGCATTAGTGAGTAAATAAAACGGTTATGTTCCAGTTGGCCGATAGAAATCACATCATTTAAGTCAAATGAAGAATGAACCCCTTGCTGATGTAAGTCACATGGGCATTTCAAATAAACCAGAACCTACTGAAGAAAGTTTTAGCAACACAGACATCTTCTAACATCTTTGTCATCTACCTCAAGTTTATCTAGGATGCTTAATATATGGCATACTCTTTGCATTAAACCTTTAAAAGAAAGTTTTAAATGCAGAGGAGAAAAAAAATAATAACTTTTCGGTTTTCAATATTTCAATCATTTTGTACAGTATGTTGCTGCAGACGTCACAACTGATAATTGTGCTGTTTGTTGCAATGCAGAGAAACCGCTTATTAATTGCATTGCTATAAGGACTAAACTTGTTTTAATCAATACAAAATACAACTTTATGGCTGGTAAGAATTGTTTAAGGCCAAATTTCCCAGTTCATTTGTCATTGGCAGGTGTGGACATTTTTTTTTGCACCCAGCTCATTGTGTCTCCTGTGATTTTTGGCTCACACCACCAGTTCCTCCAGAAGTGTTTTTAAAGGCACCCAAAAGAAAAGTATTGTTATGCGAATCCTTTGTTCTCTGTTAGGTTAAGAAAGCTTTCTTTGCCTTGGTTGCTAATGGAGTTCGAGCTGCGCCATTGTGGGAAACCAAAAACCAAAGCTTTGTGGGTGAGCATTGACACATGCACGTGCACACACACTCTCACACACACACACACACGCATTTCTGTCATTCTTTTCACTGGAGTTGGGTTTTTTTTGGTCAGGTAGACAGAAAATGTTTAACTCATTTAATCCTGCAAGTCCATTTAACTGCCTGTCTTGAAATTATTGTTAAAAAAAACTTAATCAGTAATCAAATAAAAGCATTGCTTCAGGTCATTATTTGTTCACCTGTAACATAATTGGACATGCTTAGGTTAGCAGCTAACAATAACATGTACCATATTGGTTGAAATTCATTGCTGCCTACTTCCTGTCCAGATTGTTTTGAATTGTAGATATTTATAAGCAGGCATAGATGGAATATGCTGATGCTTTACAAGAAAGCATTAAATGAGCTTGGAGTACTTGTTGGTAACTGAAATCATGATTAAACTGTCCATTTTTTGGAATAAACACAGCAAATACGTAAAGGACATTGGATGCATATTCTGCCAAATCTGCAGGCACAGTTTCTCTGTGAGCCCAGATATGAGTCAGCATGGTTTTCCTCTAATGATATGTTTTCTCACTAGGAATGTTAACCATCACAGACTTCATCATCATACTGCACAGATACTACAAATCACCACTGGTAAGGTTTCAGACATCACAGAAACTCAAATATTGCCTGTTTTGCTGGTCAGTGTCATTTTGCTCCGTGCTGGTTCGTGGGGGTTTGACCAGAAATTAGGCCTACCTTCAAATGGCTTCAAAAGTGCAAAAATTCTTTAAAAAAAAAAAAAAGTGTTTTGCCATGGTATTTCTCCTCAGCTTGTTGAAGACATTGCATGTAATTAAATGAATGTTCACCTAAGAGGAAGGATATTTGTGACCCTGGAGCACAAAACCAGTCTTAAGTCGCTGGGGTATATTTGTATATATTATATAATATATATATTACATATATATATATCATATATTATTGTAATATATATTACAATATATATATTGTATATATTGTAAAAATACATGACCCTTATGACTGGTTTTGTGGTCCAGGGTCACATTTGTCCATTTTAAAATTTTAAGTCATATTTTGTGTTAGGTGCAAATATACGAGCTGGAGGAGCATAAAATTGAGACTTGGAGAGGTAAATATTTTCAGCATTTTCACATTACCACTGCTAACACTCAGTTGCCTTTATATATATTTTCAATTATTCACTGAACTCATTTTTGTACACCCAAAATGTGTATATTCACGCACACCCATGTCCTTTATGGAGAAAATGTGAAAATGTGAAAGACATGAGGGTGAGTAAATAATTACAGAACTTTTAGTTTAGTTTTGATTTCTGCTTATACCAACAGAACTGTACTTGCAAGAAACTTTTAAACCCTTAGTCAACATATCTCCAGATGCAAGGTGAGACATTTGGACGTATTTTTGCAGATCGTGTTTATCCTCTTCATTACATGGTGCTTTATCCACTTTTTGGATCCAAATTTATCTTGAAACAAATTCAGCAATTATTTCAGATGACTCGACCAAGATCACTTTTGTGACATTATCTGCTAAGCAGAGCGTTTTTTAAAAATGTTTGGTTTCTTGTAACTCTTTGCTGTTTTTTCCCTAGTATATTTGATGCTGTATACTCACTCATCAAAAATAAGATCCATCGTTTGCCAGTGATCGATCCAGTCACAGGAAACGCTCTGTATATCCTCACACACAAGAGGATCCTCAAGTTTCTGCAGCTCTTTGTGAGTATATTACTTCCTTTTAGCTTACTGATCATTCTATGCATACAGTTGTCATACTTATTTAGTTGTTGTCAACAAATCAAACTAGTAAAAGGTTACAGAAGTGTAATAATCATCCTGAGTTATGCTGATGGTTTATGGTCTTGTAGGTGTGCGAGATGCCTAAACCAGCCTTCATGAGGCAGACTCTGGAGGAGCTGGGCATTGGCACATACTGCAACATCGCTTTCATTCACCCAGATACACCCATTATTAAAGCACTGGGCATGTTTGTGGAGAGGAGAGTGTCTGCCCTGCCGGTGGTGGATGTTACAGGTAACGACACGTATTGCTAACTTTCCTGTCAGTTCATATACTTGAATTATTCTTCTGTCAAGCCCTTTTTAGAAACAATTCGTGGTACATGACAAATTTCTCATATTTGCTTTTCATATTTTTCCTCCCAAAGGAAAGGTTGTGGACATTTACTCCAAATTTGATGTCATTGTAAGTTATACTACTTAAAGTTGACAAATAACTGCTAAAGCGTTTTACCACACATTTGTAAAGGAAATTGAAGTCATGGATATTTCTACAGTGCATATTTGTTCTAGTTCTCTATTCTAAAATATTTCATCAGATTTTGCACTTTGAGTGCTTGTGTCTTATGACTGAGAGTTTTCTAGGAGAAATTTGTACACAAATACAGTACTCTTCAAGAGTTTAGGGTCAGTAAGATAGTTAAAAAAAAATTTTTTTTAAATCTTCTGCTCACCAAGGCTGCATTTATTTGATCAAAACTACAGTAATAACAGTAATGCTGTGAAATATTATTACAATCTAAAATAACTGTTTTCTATTTTAAAATGTAGTTTATTCTTGTGATGCAAAGCTGAATTTTCAGCACCATTACTCCAGTCTTCAGTGTCACACGATCCTTCAGAAATCATTCTAATATGCTGATTTGCTGCTCTATTATTATTATCAATGTTGAAAACGGTTGTGCTGCTCGATATTTTTGTGGAAACCATGATACATTTTCATCAGGATTCTTTGATGAATGGAAAGTTCAAAAGAACAGCCTTTATTTGAAATGCAAATCTTTTGTAACATAGTAACATAGCATGTCTTTAATGTCCATATTTTTTTGGAATAAAAATATTAATTTTATTTAAAAAAAAAAAAATCTTACTGAACCCAAACTTTTGAATGGTAGTTGTTGGACCTTATTCATGAAACACTTGTAAACAGTTCGTAATTCATATGTCCCTTCAAATCCATTTGTATCCGTTTAATTAAATGTATCAATTTATATACAAATGATTTTACAGCAAAATTCATTGTTGTCATTAATAAGGCCCGTTAGTACAAAAGTGACAGAACATTAAATGTGAAAGGCACCATCTTCAAACCAACAGTTTGTTTATTCATTTATTATTGATTATATTATTGATTCATTGTAAATGACCAGTTATATTGAGATATAAACTGAGTTATCGAGATGCTTAGTTGTGTAGTGTGTATTTGGCTGTCTGTGAAAGTTGCTATAGTGTGGCTCCATTTTCATTAGTGTTGTGGGTGTGTGTAGAACCTGGCTGCTGAGAAGACCTACAATAATCTGGACATCACCGTGACTCAGGCGCTGCTGCATCGCTCACAGTACTTTGAGGGCGTTATGAAGTGTTATCGACACGAGACCGTGGAGACTATAGTGGACAGGATCGTCAAAGCTGAGGTGAGATTTACTCACAGCAGTTAGAAAAACACTGTTTACATGGACCAGATGCCAGCAACAGCCACTAGAAAAGAAGTCCCACCTGAAACAAACAATATAGACTTAATTTTTCATAATAAAGAATTGGTCCCACTTTGTTTTTAGGTCCAATTCTCACTATTATCTAACTCAGTGGTTCCCAACCCTGGTCCTGGAGGCACCCCAACACTGCACATTTTGCATGTCTCCTTTCTCTGACACACCAATTTCAGGTCTTGGAGTCTCTACTAATGAGCTGATGACCTGAATCAGGTGTGTTTGATTAAGGAGACATGCAAAACATGCAGTGTTGGGGTGCCTCCAGGACCAGGGTTGGGAACCACTGATCTAACTCCTTGGTCTCAAACTCAATTCCTGGAGGGCCACAGCTCTGCACAGTTTAGCTCCAACCCTAATCAAACACACCTGATGCAGCTAATCAAGCTCTTCAAGATCACTAGAAACTTCCAAGCAGGTGGGATTTGGAGCTGGTTGGAGCTAAACTCAGTTTGAGACCAATGATCTAACTAATGACTACAACTTTTGCCTCAATAAGCTCCTAATTTGCTACTTATTAATACTTCATAAGGTAGTTAAGTTTAGGTATTGGGTCGGATTAAGGAGTCTAAAATATGGTCATGCAGAATAAGCCATTAAGGGCTCTAGACTGCGACAGTTTTTTGACAATGTGCGAGTTCAAATGTGATGTAGTCGCATTTGTGCGAGTGTATGGTCTGCGCTGCTCCAAAGCGTCTGCTCTGCTCCATCCAGTGCGCTGCAGAGCCGCAGCACATTATAGCAGGAGTCAGATTTCACTGATCACGTAAAGAGAGGCGTGTTCAGTGCGAGTGCTTCGAGTGTATAGCCTGGTTTATACTCATCGCAGCAGCTGCACGAGCGCAAAGGTAACGCATTACTTTTTATGGAAAGTAATGTGTTACGTTACTTTTGAGTTACTTTTTAAATCTGGGCAGGGCTTGCTTGTTTGTTTTTATTATAAAAAAGTTCTTCTTTTACAAACATAAAAGCCCTTTCATAAGAAAAGTGAAATGAATACGCCTCAGGCTGAAGGAAATGTAAATTCACGTCTGTACAGTAGAGGGCACAGCTCAAACAAATTGCATGAAGAATATGAC